CTTCTCTTCTTGGGGAATTCTTCATCATCATTCCATACTCCTTGAGCCTTACGACTTTCCCACAATATGTTCTTCCCTCCCCACTCATAAGCTCACCAACATCTTCCTTCAACATAAAAGTAAAAAGCAAAACAAAACGCAATATTAGATTATTAAGAATCAAGTTTATTTAACAAAATCTGTGCTCTCAAAGCCTAGTCCAGTCCTCATGTGCTCAAAAAGAATATAAGAGACACACAGGATTGCTGGTCTACAGGAATGAGAGCTTAATGGTACTTGTGGGACAGAGCATTGGCCACACCAGCCACCAGCTTCTGCCATGCAGCTTGCACCTCAGGAGTGAATTCCTTGGCAAAATGGGTAGAAAGGACAATCACCAACACGTTACCTAGGAGCTGTAAAAAAATGACATGTAACAGTGATAGGTAGAAGTTCAAAATGATTGCATATAAAAATTACATTCCTTGAAGAGTCCACTGTTTATCACTTCAGCTGTGACAAACTGGAGAGCTGAATTATGTGATTTTGCTTGTATCCACTCACAACTCAACCAGCTGTATCTGTACATTTCCACATTCTGTATTCCTTGTTTCCTGACCCACTCACCAAAGAACTAGTCTAAATGAACACAAGATTCTAGTGCAACAAGATGCTTAGTAGAGTCAAGGGTCTGATCAATGAGAAAGAAGCCTCCAATTACATCAATGCTCAGGTGGAATGTAAAATACTTAGAAAATTTGTCAAATGATAAGAAAGATCAGTCTTTTGGCATTTTGTTGGGTCTTCCCTAAAGCACTGATTATTAGGCACCAAATAATAAGGCATTTCCCCTTTGCAATGACAAGATATCCTATTCAAATTATGTTTCTTCATCATAGATTTACTCATCTAAAACAACACACTCCTTTTTTAAAACAATCCAATATATGAACACTTTGTCTTCGGATGCTGGGGATCCAACCCAAAGCCTCAGGCAAGCTATGAGTGCAATCTACTCTACATACTTGTCTTCCACATGTTACATACAGCAAGATATTAATTTAGACTTCTATTACATATTTACTGACACTAGTTTTGGACCTATGTACTCTAGAATCTCTGAAGACATTAACTTTCAGGGTCTCAACTCCCAGGAATGTTGCTAGTAAAATTAATGAGCACATGAGCATGTTCCACACTGACCTTGAAGTTCTCAGGATCCACATGAAGCTTGTCACAGTGCAGCTCACTCAGATGAGCAAAAGTCTCCTTGAGGTTGTCCATGTTCTGAACGGCCAAGCCTAGGGATGTCAGCACTTTCTTGCCATGGGCTCTGATTCTAGGGTTACCCATGATGGCTTGGGCAGAAGAGAGGTTTCCGAATTTTTCAAAGAATCTCTGAGTCCATGGGTAGACAATCAGGAGCCTAAGACACAGGGCATTAGCAGTTAAAAAGTCAGAAAATGTCATAAACCCCTAAAGGAAGCCTGGATATTTCTGCCAAGTACAATTTACTCTCCATTCCTCCCCTGCCTTGGTCTCAGATCCTACCTTCCCAGGGTTTCTCCTCCAGCTTTTTCCAAGTCCACTTTATCCCATATGCTTGTGATAGCTGCCTTCTCCTCAGCTGTGAAGTGAACCATGGTGTCAGGTCTAGAAGCTTGGAGAGACCACAGGGGTGTGGGAAGGAACAAGTGTGTTGAAGTGGCTGAAGCCCTGCCCTTTTATTCTTCACCCTGGGCCTTGCCCCCTTGCCCACCTCCCCAGACTCTGAGGCTATTGGTCAAGAGAGGCTGGGCAAGACAGGGGTGGGGTCCAGTGGAGTGAGGTTTAGATAGCATTTCCACTAAGATAGCCTCAAGTAGGCCCCTTCCCTCCCTCATGGGGGGACACACTCTTGCCCAAGTTTTCATAGTTTCTACTCTTTCTTTCCTTCTTCCTTTCCTTTGGTCCCTCTTCTCCCAACAGGAGGTTTGCGAGGGTATCTTTCACACTCTTCTTTCCCTTTTGTCTCTAGCCATGCAGTGGCCAGTACATTAAAGCTGAAGCATAGGCAAACATGGGAAAGCCTCCGTGAGTATGAGACTCTTCTTAGGCATGGGAATCAGGACCTGGGTGGCAGAAATATGCCCCTTACTCAGAAGTCATGTATAACAATGGAGTGGTGTGCAAATCATTGGATGCATTTTCTATAGATTTATCCCATGATATTCCTAGTTCCCTCGGTTCAGCCTTCTCCGTGTCCATGGCAGGTTGAGTACTAAAAAGCAGAATGATTAATCTTGCTTCAACTGGGCTCTGTCTGAACTTTTTTGTGTGTTCACAAAATAACCCTCAAGTAGCAGGGATGTTTCCATCCAGTAACAGTTAACATGTACTGCCACAGCTAAGACAGAATTATACATTAGGAACTTCATTCCTAGTAGTGACTTTCTGCTGTCAGCTTTCACAGTTTTTTAGTTGCCTCAATGTAGTTGTAGATAGAGATTCTTAATGCTATGCAGGAACCAGCTCTGTTCTTTTAAAAAGAAGCTATACATACATAATACATACATACACACACACACACACACACACGCACGCACACATAGCTTCTATATCCATGGTCTGATCTTGAAGGAAGCTGGAAGTCCTGGGTCTAAGCTTCCAAACATTTTAACCAGTAAGTCTCAGTTTTACTTCAACAGACTCTGGAGGGATTTGTGATCCTACATGTCTGAAAAATAACCACCATCTAAAAGAAACCTAAATACTCTATTTTATTATAAATGTATACTACCAAAATATTACCCTTTTGTTGTTGAAACATCTCATCATCAGCTGAGCATACTGGCACATGTCTTTAAACCCAACACTTAGGAGACAGAGGCAGTCACATTTTTGTATGAGGCCAGCACAATCTGCATAGCAAGTTCTAGGCCATCCAGGCTACAGAGTGTGACCTTGTCTCTTATCCTGACCTGTATATGTGAATATGTGTGTGAATATACTAAGAGTTATTTCTCAGTTATTTTTTTCACATTGGAGTGGTAATGGGCTCATCTAGCTCTCAAACCATAGTAAATGTTTCTTCTCCCCACCACTGCATAATTACCATCTGTTGACCGTCTAGAGCCAAAACGTAAGTGATGGCAAAAAGAAGAAAAAGAAATTGATAGATGTGGTCAAGAAGAAGAAAATGAAATTGATAAAAGTGGGCATTGTCTTATCCATTGACAGGCCCAATGAAAACCAAATTTGAGTGCATTATATCAGGCTTTTTATTAGTGCTCTACTGAAAGGCCAGCAGGACCAGAAAGACCATCTGACTAATCTATTAATCAAGAGAGGTGTTGCTCTCTAATGTCTACCATTTAAAGATTCCAGACCTTGGCATGATAATGATTCAGGCCTTGAATGTCTTTGAGCAACAAATGCGATTGATCGTCATGAGTGTCTCAAGTAAATGCATACTCTGTTCATTATACCGACTAAAATTTGTGATTTCATTCTCCACTGTCCCTTTTTTTCTTTTTATATATTATGTAAATCTGGCACAGTGTCTGTCACATCCTACCTTTGATCATCATCACTGGTTGCCTTGTTTCATCACTTTATCTTAAACTTTTATGAGTGTGACATCCAGTTCTTAAGAATTTAAGTTAATTTTGGATTCATAAGGAGAATATTTTTCTCAATAGTCCCATTTCTTCAGGCAGTTTTCTTGATATGGTTTACTGGTTAATAATCAATGCATTTAGTGTTTTTAGTTTAGTGGTACTGGGAATTGAATCTCTGGCATTCCACATGTTAGGCCAGTGCTCCACACTGAGCAGCATCCTAGACTAGGATTTATAATTTATTCTGAGGCAGCAGCACACTAAGTTCTTAGGTTGTCCTTGAACTCTCTCTGTAGCTCAGGCAGTCCTTGAAACTGTGACACTTTGGTTATCCTTTCAAGTAGTGGGAAGATAAGCAGGGCTCACCAGGTTTCCTACCCATTATTGTTTCCTACCCAATAAAGTATTAAAATTGAGGTTTTAATTATCAAGGCCCTTATTGTCTAGTTTAGCCAATATTTTGCCTTTTCAATACCCTCTAGTTTTTTCAAATCATTAAGATCTAGTTCACTGGCCTTAGATTACAGAAATTTTTAGCCTTCATGTATACTTCCCATTTATAAAATCATCATCCCCATTTGACCTGAGAAAGTTCCATTTATATCATTTATCACCATCTCATTGCTCATTATAGTCTTACAGAAAATTACAGTGAATTGCATCTCTTAGCTTTGATTCTTCACTGAGACAATGGACTTCAAAACACAAGCCTGCTATAGTGATTTTATTGAAATATTTTCTTAAATGTTTCTCTCCAGCAATTTGTCAGGTTTTTTTGCAACCAATTTCAGAGGGCCCCTGTTGAAGTATCTGCTGGAAGATCTGCACTTAGAGCTGGAGAGATTATGACTCAGTGTTTAAGTGTATATACTGCTCTAAGAGGAACTGAGTTCAGTTCTCAGCACCCATGGCTTGCAGCTCACAACTACTTGTAACTCTAGTTCCAGTGAGACCAGAGTTTCTGACCTCCATACACTCCTGAACTCACATGCACAAACCCAAACACAGACAGACACAGAGACTTGTGATTAAAAATACAATAAATCATTTCTTAAAATTAAAAAATCTGAACACATTAAGTTTAAGCATTAGATTTGTCCAAGGCTTTATCTTAATTTAACAATACATATCACACTCTGCACTTTATCATTTGTCATGCTTTTCTTCATCCTCTACACGAAGTTTTAGCAACTGGCATACAATTCCTTCTTCTTTGCTTTCCTACGTGAGAATTCTTCTCAATTCTTCGCCCTCCCTGAAACCATAGGAAACTCCCATAACATCTACCTTCCTCTCCTGAGTCCCAATACAGTTTTCAAAGAAACTTGGGTGTCCTGTAGTGCCTCTCCACTACCATGCATCCATAAACCCTCTTTCTTTAGCACAAAATTAAGGAACATACCCAACGAAATATGACTCAGGTTACTGAAAAGAATAGACTTTATTAAACAGAAATTCTGGTTTCAAATTTGAGCACAGTGGTCTTGTGTAGGATGGGGATGAGGGGTACACAGCAGTGCTGGTCATCAGGAAAGAGGGCTTAGTGGTATTTGAGGGACAGAGCATTGGCCACCGCAGCCACCAGCTTCTGCCAGGCAGCCTGCACCTCGGCAGTGAATTCCTTGCCAAGATGAGAAGACAGAACAATCACCAGCATGTTGCCCAGGAGCTGTAAAAGGAAACACAAAAATGAGAAAAGGAGAGAATTTACATGACAAATAATATGTTTAAGTTATGTTCTTTGAGAACTCCAATTCCCAACTACCTATCCACTCTAATGAGGAGGTTGGTTCCGTGTCACTCTTCAAATGCCCTCCTTGCTCCCACTCAACCTTCTCTTGCCTGTTTCCTTCTGTTTCCTCAATCCTACAGTTTTATATGTCTCTTGCTTCTTTTCCTATTTGCCAATGGACTGACTTCATAAATACAGGGTTTCTGTGACATGTTCACTATAGAGTAAGTTTATAATAATGGAGAAAATAGACATTCCTTATATTGCTCATTAGGACTGCAATTTTTTAGAAAGTTCATCAAACCAATAAGAAAATTCTGTCTAGTTTCCTCCCATCTCTTACCTAAAGTGTTAATCGTTTAGAATTCACATAAACAATGTATTTCTCCTTCTCTAAAACAAAATGTCAATTGCAAAGGCTTTTCTACTTCCAGGTGTGGGCCAATATCTTTTTTTTCCTTTAAGTAGCAGGGGAATTTGTAACTAACTCCAAGTGCTGCTCCATTTTGTCTTTTTGGTAGACATCAACTCCCAGGCTTCATGTACCCTGAAAAATCATTCTAACAACTGAGTTGTATACTGAGAGACCGCATGTCTATTGAAAAACTTTTTTTCACATTTGCAAATTTATAGAGGTTTCTATCAATTCAGTAACACTGCATCTGTACGCACATATTATGAGATTTTGACAAGCATAACCAATATCATGCTTTTCTTTCTTTCTTTCTTAGCAATTGAATTTATTTATTTATTTTACATCCTGACCTCAGTTTCTCCTCCATCCTCTCCTTCCATTCCCTCCCTCCACTATCTTCTTATCCCCCCCATCTACTCCTTCTCTATTTCTGTTCAGAAAGGGATAGGTCCCCATGGATGTCAAAAATCATGGCCTCCTCCCCTTATATTAAGGCTGGGCAAGTCAACCCAATATGAAGAATAGGTTCCTGGAAGCAAGCCAGCTTATTAGTGACCAATTATACTCTTAACTTTCATTCTTTTTAAATTTAGCACATGAGCATGTTCCGCACTGACCTTGAAGTTCTCAGGATCCACATGAAGCTTGTCACAGTGAAGCTCACTCAAATGAGCAAAAGTCTCCTTGAGGTTGTCCATGTTCTGAACAGCCAAACCTAGGGATGTCAGCACTTTCTTGCCATGGGCTCTGATCCTAGGGTTACCCATGATGGCTTGGGCAGAAGAGAGGTTTCCGAATTTTTCAAAGAATCTCTGAGTCCATGGGTAGACAATCAGGAGCCTAAGACACAGGGCATTAGCAGTTAAAAAGTCAGAAAATGTCATAAACCCCTAAAGGAAGCCTGGATATTTCTGCCAAGCACAATTTACTCTCCATTACTCCCCTGCCTTGGTCTCAGATCCTACCTTCCCAGGGTTTCTCCTCCAGCTTTTTCCAAGTCCACTTTATCCCATATGCTTGTGATAGCTGCCTTCTCCTCAGCTGTGAAGTGAACCATGGTGTCAGGTCTAGAAGCTTGGAGAGACCACAGGGGTGTGGGAAGGAACAAGTGTGTTGAAGTGGCTGAAGCCCTGCCCTTTTATTCTTCACCCTGGGCCTTGCCCCCTTGCCCACCTCCCCAGACTCTGAGGCTATTGGTCAAGAGAGGCTGGGCAAGACAGGGGTGGGGTCCAGTGGAGTGAGGTTTAGATAGCATTTCCACTAAGATAGCCTCAAGTAGGCCCCTTCCCTCCCTCATGGGGGGACACACTCTTGCCCAAGTTTTCATAGTTTCTACTCTTTCTTTCCTTCTTCCTTTCCTTTGGTCCCTCTTCTCCCAACAGGAGGTTTGCGAGGGTATCTTTCACACTCTTCTTTCCCTTTTGTCTCTAGCCATGCAGTGGCCAGTACATTAAAGCTGAAGCATAGGCAAACATGGGAAAGCCTCCGTGAGTATGAGACTCTTCTTAGGCATGGGAATCAGGACCTGGGTGGCAGAAATATGCCCCTTACTCAAAAGTCATGTATAACAAGCCATTGGATGCTATTTCTATAAGTTTAGGCCATCATTTCCCTAGTTGCCCACAGCCTCAGGAAAGGAGTTCCTACTACCTTTCCATTTCTGAGTATGAATAGACAGCTGTGGTGTAGTAGAGCATGTCTCTACATTTGCCTTTGTCATACTTTGAAACAGAGCAATCTGCTATGTGTACATGACATCCACCCTGTAAATGCACTGTGTGGTCATGCAGCTGTCATTCCCACTATAAAAGGGTATCTGCCTGATGATGCAGGATGTGGCTTCAGCCTGCTCTCTTCTCATGGCAGGTTGAGTACTAGATGATTGATTGAACTTTCAGGTTGCTTCAACCAGGCTGTCTTCACTTTTTGTGTGCTCACAAAAAAAACCCTAATGTAGTAGGGATGTTTCTGTCTAGTAACAGTCCACATGCATTGTCACAGCTGGGACATAATTACACATCAGAAACTTCATTCCTAACAGTGACTTTCTGCTGACAGCTTTCACATTTTCTTCATTCTTCCTCTATAGTCCTGTAGGGAATTTTTATTGGTATGCCAGCATGGAATACACAGTCTGAGAGAAAACCAACTACATTATCTTTCACATAAGCCATTTGTGAGATGGTAGTAATGTACCTACCAACATAGCCCAATTACCACCAGAACCCCAGTTCTAGTGGAAAACAATAGTTCTGGCTTCCAAAAACACCTAATTTCACATATACAAACACAAATATATATGTAGATACAGACTCATAAAAATTTAACATGCCTTTTTAAAAACATGATTAAAATTATGATAGTTACATTATATCTCCCTTCCCTTTTCTCTGACCAAACACTTCCATATACCCTCCTTTTTCTCTTTCAAATTTATGTCTTCTTTTATTCTTAATTCTTTCTTGGCAGGTGGTGAGACAGGGTTTCTCTGTGTAGCCCTTGCTGTCATGGAAGTAGTTGTAGTAGGCTAGGCTTGTCTTGAAACTCACAGAGATCCACTTGCCTCTGCCTCTTGAGTGCTGTGATTAAAGGCATATACCACCACCACCCATATTGTCATTAATTCTTATTTCATGCATATATGTATATGTAAGTGTAGTCTTTGCACCTCATTCAAGGAACTTCTCTTTGCAATAGACAGAGACAACTACAGAAATCTATAGCATATCAAATTGAAGAGTTGTGGAGCCCAATCCCAGAGAATATATTGGCAAAATGCTCCCACACCTAAGGTTCGGGAAATACTTCAGAAGAGACACAAAAGATTGTAACAGCCAGAGAATCAGGGAGTTTTTTGTGACACATGCTAACATTGTTCAGGGAAAGTGTGTAAGACCTCAACAACATGCAAAAAATTACAGGCAACTAAAGAATGCTGAGAATTGGTATAGTCTTCCCCAGGGAAAAACATACCGTCTGGTTATACAATAAATCCTTTTAGGAAGAAAATGTGCATTAAATAATTTAAAATAACAATCATATCTTAGAACTTGGATCTCTAAAGCTTTTTCTTAATGGAAATGCTATAGGTCATAATCTGTCATGATATGTCACTTGCCACCCTTTTTTTTCAACCTCTACATTAAGTTTTTGTTTTTGTTTTGTTTTGTTTTGTTTTTTCTCTAACGTTCTCCACTTTATTCTTATTTATATTTTTTATTTAACTTTTTACACATTTCATTCTCAGTTGCCTCTCCCTCCCCTACTCCCCCATGCCCCAATCCTCCCAATCCCCCATCCCCCACTCCATCCCCCCTCTGCTACCCAGGGAGGGCAAGGGCTTCCATGAGGGATTTTCAAAGTCTATCACATCATCCACGGCAGCACCTAGGTCCTCCCCCATGTGTCCAGGCTGAGAGAGCATCCCTCCATGTGGAATGGGCTCCCAGAGTCCATCTGCATGCCAGGAATAAATACTGCTCTACTCTCCAAGGTTCCACAGATTGCCAAGGCCTGTTCTAGGACCCCCAGGTTTGGTGGTGGGGGGAGTGTCTGGATCAGTCCCATGTTGGCCCCTCAGTCATTAGTCTGGGGCCCATGTGTTCCCCCTTGTTTAGGTCAGCTGCCTCTGGGGGTTTTGCCAGCCTGTTTTTACACATTACAAACCCAAGTCCTTCTCTACTAAATTAACTCTTTTTTTTGAGAATTCTTTCCTGGCTTCAGACTCTCCATGGGTCTGTAGACATCTACTTTCCTCTCTTGAGACCTTTTAGTTTTCAGAGCAACTCAGGTATCTTCCTGTGCTTCCCCTCTCCCACAAACCCATTAAACATTTTCCTTTAGCACTGAAGTAAAACAGACAAGACAAAAATGACTGTTTGATTACTGGGATGAATGATCTTTATTAAACAACATGTGTTCTCAAGGACCAGCCCAGTACTCATGTGCAGAAACAGGGCATAGGGGACACACGGGATCACTGGACAGCTAGAGAGAGGGCTTAGTGGTACTTGTGGGACAGAGCAGTGGCCACCCCAACCACCAGCTTCTGCCAGGCAGCCTGCATCTCAGGCGTGAATTCCTTGCCAAAGTGACCAGCCAAAACAATCACCAGCACGTTACCCAAGAGCTGTTTGAAGAAAGACAAACAGATTTGTGTGTTAAATGCAGGTTCAGAAAAGAATATGTATGAAAAACAAAGAAATCTCTTGAGCCTATGCTGCAACATATTTGGCATCAAACTCTGCATTCAGTCATCTCTGATGAGCATAGATTCATTTCTTCTATTGCACCTCTGTCTTCCCGCTCACCACTGCTCTGTCTCACGCTTTCTCCTCTTCCCAGTATATTTATTTGCCTTTCTTGTTACTTCCCCCATTCGCCAATTGTCTAATATCTGTCAATACAGAATTCTTGTGCTACAAGTGTCCTTAGTGGAGTTTTAAAACTGCCACCAATGTAGAAACAGCCTCCACTTGTCACGATATTCACTGGGGAATTTAATATATCTTTATAATGTTAATAGAAAAAATCCATCTTTAAACAGTACCCCAAATCTTTTCTTCACCATGAACCATTAGGACTTAAAGAAATTAACCTATTTTCCCTCTCCAGATTCCATTTCTTCTTGCATAGATCTGCTATTCTTTCTCATTATTCTCCATGATCAGTACAATAAACTTCTATCATGACAAATTTTTCTAAATGCCTGTAAACTAATTTAGGCTTCTTAACAACCATTCACCGTCATACTGCCTAGACCAATGAATTTTTAGCTTTATGTTGGCATCAACATCACTCATACTCTCAGCTTCCATCTGTGTCCCCAAGACAAATGCAAAATAAATTTGTGAACTTGCCCCGAACTCACCTTGAAGTTCTCAGGATCCACATGTAGCTTGTCACAGTGCAGTTCACTGAGCTTAGCCAAGGCAGACTTGAGGTTGTCTAGGTTCTTAATGGCTTCTCCAAAAGAAGTCAGCACCTTCTTGCCATGGGCTTTGACCCTCGGGTTTCCCATTATAGCAGAAGCAGAGGACAAGTTCCCAAAGCTGTCAAAGAATCTCTGGGTCCATGGGTACACAACAAGAAGCCTGTGAAATTGGGAAAAAATTGGAAAATCGAGGATCCTCAGAATTCTTGGTTTTGCTGGTGATTGGTCCAAGGTACTATTCACCCTTCTGCAGATGAATCCACAACCAATTCTTACCTTCCCAAGGCTTCACCACCAATGTCTTCAACATTCACCTTACTCCACAGGCCATTGATGAGACCCTTTTCCTCAGCAGTAAAGTTCACCATGATGTCAGGTCTGAGAGCTTGCTCGTGATCACAAGAGTGTCAGAAGCAGGTATAGGCTGTTGTTGGAAGTGGGGCCTTTTATTCTTCACGGACGATGTTCTGTCCCTTTGTTCTGCGCAATTCTTTGAAGCTATTGGTCATGGGTGGAGCCAGGACATGGGAGGGTCAGCAGTAACTATACACTGAGTTTATGATAATACATTTTAGATATGGGGCCATTGTTTTTCTTTTTGGCTCCTCCTTCACCAAAAACATTTTTTTAACGTATTGTCTTTTCATTCTCCTCTCTCCCCAAGATAACAGTAATCTCTTTAATCACATTTTCCAACAAAGGCAGAAAAGTTCTCCTATATTTGATGATCTAGCTGCTCTTACAACTCTCTGCCTCTGGCCAGTTCTGCATGTATTCTGTTCCTCACCTCCTCTACTGCTACCTATGCTCCTAGTAGTCCTAGGACTTTCTCTTCCAGAATATTTCATTTTGTTTAGTTTAATTCTATTTTTCATTTAACAGCATGGCTTCTGCATCTCAAGTCTTCATGTTCCAAATTTACCTAGGGACTTTTCTTTTTGGCTTGCCTTGGCTTTTATGATGCCTCCTTATGTATATAACATAACCATTTCAGACACATGAGAATACCTCTCTTTTTCGTTCTCCTATGACTGCAGAGCTTTTATCTAATTTAAAGTCTTCCCAAGCTGGCATTATTACAAACCATTGAATTTGACCTATTCTAGTCTCAGTCTTTAACCTACATTATCTTTTGGGTATAGATTCTAACCAATGATCAGTATAGATGTGAACTTATCTTTTTCATGACATAGACTAATTGGACAGACTGTTAGCTACTAAATTGTGTGCATAAAATTATGCACATAGGATTGTCAAGAATATCAATGTAGTTACCATACACAAGTTGAAATAGCTACCTTTGGTGTAATATTGCAAGCATTTCCTCATGAGCACATTAGATCCATAGTGATCATAATATCGACTTCATACAGATTAATGGTAGGGGTATCTGTAATCACTATAGCACAACATTTTTAAAATGCTTTGTAGACCCAATTTAAGATTCCCTTGCCTAGAATAGACAACCTAGGAAAATAGAATTCTAGGTTGAGAAAGATGTTTCATTATTCAAGAATAAGACTAAATACACAAAAAACCGAGCTGTATGCCAGACTGAGTTAAAAAGCAAGACCCTTGTCTCAGAAACACAAGTCTTGAGAGGTTCAAGCAATACAGTGTTTGCTCAGCATTTACAAAGCCCAGGGATTGGATTTACTCCTAAGGGTTGCCCACAATTTCTTAAAGGAAAAGAATCAAATATTTTTCTAATTTTATATACTCTTAATATGGGAAATTGAAAAGTACATTACTTGTAGTAAAAATAACCCCTTTAATGAATATTTTCTAGTGTTATCCAAGAAAAAAGTCTCTGTTTTAAAATAAAAAGTTATTAGTGAAGTTTCTGAACAGGAAAAAGTAGTCTTCAATTCTTATTGAAAGAAACAGTCACTTATTTTGCTTCCATTGGATGTCTACAATCATATCCCTATAACAGTAATAAATGGGATAGAATAATTCTATTAAGTGTTGCATTAGCGAGGAATGACTTATAGACTAACAGTATCAAGGTAGCATCCCCACAGAAAGCCTACACTTTCCCTAGTGTAACTGCAGAAAATAAGGAAGGACTCATGGGCAGTGTCAGATTTGCTTAAAGCATCATGTTTCACAGCAGGCAGAGTTGTGTCTCAATCTCAGAGTGACTTCTCTCCCTTTTCAGTTCAGAGCATAGACATATGCTTAGCTGACCTCATAGGCTACACTAAGTAAACCAGCAGAGATGCGTATGGCTTTTAATTACCCACACAGGTTTTTGCTAGGAATAGAAAATAGAAGACCACATCCAACCAGTTAGTCTCCATTTCTTTCAGCTATGGAACTTGAAGTTTATACTTAAATCTGGTAACCTGGAAAAGTCATAAATGTCCTATTTTCTTCCAAACTATAACTTTGTTTTCTTGGTTTCTTTAGCATGCTTTTATTGCTGTTATTTGTTTGTTTGTTTGTTTGTTTTTAACTAGAGTTCTAGAATAAATAAAGTTGTAAAGTTGTCTGTTTTCAAGATTAAAATTCTAGAGAGCTCTTGTCTTTTTTGTGTTGAATAATCTCACCTCTTGCATTCAATAACCCACATTAACCTACCAAAACACTCAGACATAATAAAAAAGACAGACAGTCTTATTAGGGTGGATGTTTTTGTTTTCAGTTTTCCCCTTCAGTTAACACCACTACCTTAGGGAATGGTAAATTTCATTGTTTTTAAACCAGTTAATAGTTAAGTCAATTAACAAATGATGAACTTTCTTCACATGTAGCCCTTCTTAGATATACACTAACTAAATATTTGAATAATTTCGAAATAAAGTTGGATCAACAGCAATTCTTATAGGCAGAGGCTAGAATTCTATGTCTAGATCTATTGGAAATGGCTCCACTGTGTGCTTAGGGTCCATCTGAATTCTAGCTGACAAGGTGAAAGATCTTTCAATTTGGTAATTTGTGAAATCTAAGAAAAAGGAAAAAATATTATACCTTGTCTAGGCATGCCCCTTTAGCATTTGTAATGTCCCATATGGAATTGCTGAATTGCAAATTCACATGTCTTTGAAGAAGTACGAAGGTGTGAGGATTGGCCAAGCAAGCAGAAATTAAACGACAGCTACCCTGGCAAAGGCCAGACCCCATCCCTAAGCAAGGTCATCCCCAGTGGGGATTGTGAGAAACAACTCTGTGCTTGTCCCTGAGATTAGCAAGATATAATGATTGTTCTTGCCCCAAAATTTTTAGTGCAGAAGAGTTATTTTGAATGTAAGTCATCTCAGCTCTGGGTTGCTGAATCTGAGGTATTCAGGAACAGAAGAAGCCTTCCTTTCTCAGGGTCCTATACAGAGCTGCTGAGAGAACATGCCCCTACACTCCAGCTTCATGCAGGCCTGGGTGGTGGTTTCTCACTAGCCCTATTTCCTTAACACCATCTCCTCCTTTTTTCTCCTTCTTTCTTTTTATTCCTCTTCATCTGTCTGGGTGCTTAGGGATTTATTTTATTTTATTTTAATAGAAGTAGAAAGAGGGGCTGTTTTTCTTCTTCTAGGACTTGGGATGATGACAGTGGGTGGAGTCAGAGGCTGTGGGGACAGATAAGGACCAGAGATGCACAAAGCTGAGTCAAGATTGGGGCTCTCCTGAGATGGTGAGATGCAAAGTATTCAGGCTCCTACCTTCTGTGTCCCATCATTGTTCCTTCATGAGTAGATAAGAGGAATGGGCTATGGAGGTGTTTAAAGACCTGGCTTGGATAAGCCTGATAAGTGTGTTTTGTGTTATACATTCAAAATTATATACATATTGGTACAAATGTATGGCTATTATCCAAATTTTCAAGGACACCATGACTATAACTTATGACACCCACAGAGCCAAGAAAATAAATTGTATTCTCAACATTCCACTAAGATGCAATTTATCTTGTTTAGAAAACAAAACAAACAAACAAAAAACCCAAATGATTAAAAGTGGAACTCAAAGTGTTATGAATGAGCTAAAATAGCCCCCCGGACCAGAGACTTTTAACTGTAATATTATTAAATTCTTAAATAAAATTAAAAATTTAGTAACTAAGGAACTAGCCCAGGAGAAAACAACAGGGAAGAAAGGTTTCCTGTTGACTACCCCAGACATGCTTTGGACCTCACATGGTTTCTCCAGGCCGTGACTCTCCTTTACCTGAGGACATGAATAAAAACCACACCTGAGCTGTTGGCACAATGATGGTCTCAATGCCATAGCTGCATGATGCCTGCCGTGAGTATACACACTCATGTTCATGCTAATGCAGGTTAATTTCTAAATGGGAACTCATATCAGTATATAGATTTTGAGGCTGAATAAGCAAGCCATAACTTTATGCTGACCTCCATCCATGCCTGTGGTCATCACAATCATGTCCTCAAAACTGCCATGGCAGTTCTACTCCATGGGTAATTAGAGAAATTTAGAAGGAATCTTTGGAATTTGTGTGCATATGAGATCTTCAGTCAAAACAATATCAGGCAATATCCCTTTCAGAAGGTGACCAGTGATTCAGGAGCCATAGCTGTTTAACTGGAAGAAGTTTACATTTTCTTTGAGGAGAGAAAACTCTCTAATGTCAGAATAATCAGAGGAAATACACTTGTGCAGTGACAGTCTTTGATACACAGGTTGTGGCCTCTACAATGACAAAGGAGGACTGAGTGCTTCCTTTTCTTCCTCCAAATGTGCATTGAGTCCCTATATCCCTGTGAGTAGTTCCTATATGTTCAAAATGGTGTAAGAATGGGAGAATTCCACTCAACAAGCATTTATAATACTGAGTCTAACCTAAACTAAGTTTCTGTCCTAGAATTCAGGGTACATGAGAATTTGTTCAGGAACTACCTAGTACAGGTCTAGTGCCCCCAACTATGCTAATGACATTTGGTTAACTATTGCATATTTTAATGAACAAAACTCATGTGTGAGTACTAAAAATGTGTGATACTGTTGCTTCTAGGTGTAAGACTAAATAATAAGCATTGTATTAAAATGAACCAATTATGCTGACAGCTAAGAAAGAATAATGAGAAATAATTTTCATTCAGAAAGCAAACTACTATAGGATATGTCACACAGTGCTTTGGAGTTCCTTTTCCTTCATGGTGCTGGTGAGTGCAATGTTTTCATCAGGTAGCAAACTTCTCCTTTTCTTGCCACCATCCTTGTGGACCTCCTGCTGGAGACCCAGATAGCACTCATCACTCAAGGCTGAAAACATCTGGCCACACACCCTAAGCCTCAGCATTACTCAGCATGACTCAGCACTGTAGTGCTCAGGCTAGATGCTAGCTCAGAAATCCAAACACACCCAAATGGTGGTGGGTGGGGGGTGTGAAAGCTGACTCAGCTGGGG